GAGAGAGAGAGAGAGAGAGAGAGAGAGAGAGAGAGAGAGAGAGAGAGAGAGAGAGAGAGAGAGAGAGAGAGAGGTCGCAGCACGAACCGGCAGCGAGTGTCTCAGCAAAGGCCATGACAGGCTTCCCGCGAACACAATGCACAGTCGTTATGACTCTATCAGACCCGAAAGAAAGCATGTATACATTTGCATTTGTAATGGTCCTGTTCGGGGAGAGATTGTAGTAGCTTGACGAACAGTGCAACCATTTGCAACTCCCTCAGAAATGATAGCAAGATGATGGTTATGGTACGAGTGTTCGCCACTTGATTCACCGATTGAAGCAATCAAATTGAATCAAAGCTAGCAATTATCTAATCAATTGTTCAATCAAAGATGGAGCTTCAATCAGCCAACCAGACCTAACACCATGATGTGAACAAATTGATAGAGGGGAGAGGCAAGGAGTCAACCAATGATGCGCACTTCTCTCTCTTCTTGATGTATCCTCAGCTCGCTCTCTTTCTCTCACAATCGACGCCTCATGCGCAGCTACACGTGTGATGCTCTCCGCCCACAACGCGTGAATCTTTTTCTCTGCCTCTCTCTCTCTCTCTGTAGTCTCGTGGCTGTTCAACCTTCTGTGCGTGCGGGACCACACAGATCCTGTTTCGCCCGTTGTCGCAGGGTGTCGTTGCACCACTCAACACAACCAGGATGAATGCAAGAAAGTGGAACGACACACCGACTTTTTATTTTTTTTTCCAAATAGAAATTGGGTGCAACTGTGCCTTTGCAATTGCGAGATGCAGAGTTCACTTGCGCAAACAGGAAACAACGTCCTCCTCCTCACCCACTCACTCACTCACTTCAGCACTAGTTCTGAAGGGAGAGAACTAATGGGGACGGACTGTCGCCTGTCCACTTGATTAAGCGAAAGGGAGTCTACTTCCATTGGACGAAGGGAGGTGGCATACAAGTGGGTGAGAGAAGAGAAGCAGAGAGGATTGGAGGAGGGTCAGGAAGGTGAAGGCACTTGATGAGGAGTGATGAAAGTGAGAGGAAAGGAGAGGCGATTGGACTAGGTAAGGGGAGACAAACGATCATGTGCCTATCTGCTCTTTGATTGTTCTGAGACACAAGAGTGCAGAGGCAAACATTCTTATTCCATCTCTCCTTGTACCAGCTGGTGATGGCAATTGCCTGAAAGTAACCAGGGCGGAAGAAAGAAGAAGAAGAGGAAGAAGAAGAAGAAGAAGAAGAAGAAGAAAGGAGGAGCAAGGAATGGCTGCTGCATCCAGAATGAAGGTCTTTCATGAAGGGGGTGCGTCGTGAACACGCCAGGGAGCTGTCAGTCTTGGCTATGGAGTCTGCTTCCCTCGATGGTTCTTGACATCATCAGTGGCTATGGAAGCCAGAGGATGTCAGCCAGGGATGCTGCTCAGCGTGCTTCTCCCCCACTGGACACGATGATGAAAAGGTGATGGGTATAGTCTGGTGTGTGCATGCAACTGCGTGCAAGGGCACGTGGGGGGGTGATGTGTGGGGGGCTTGAAAACAAAATCTTCAAACGCCACCAGCTGCCGCCGCCACTCTCTCTCTACTCCTTGCCTGGGACTCCTGAAGATGCACAGACGTGGAAAATTGTCCGGGTGTGGATTCTCGAGGCCGGAATTTTCTCAACCCCCTCAAGCTATGAACAACTTTTTGGGGTCCAGGACCAAACCGACGACTGGTCCTTCGAATTTACGAAGTTATACGAACGTACCGGTTCTGGCAGTGATAGCTGTTGGTCTGCAATTTTGCGGAGGACCACTTCCCAAATGAGTTGCACCCATGTTATACCCTGTTATCCAGTGGTCACCTCCGGTAAAAAATGCGGCACCTTGACACAGATGAGAGAACCCGCTACACCGCAGCCCTTAGGGATGTGAATTCTACTCAGTGATTTTTGAGTTTTTTAATTGTGAATTTGAAATAGTTTGTCTGCGAAGTTGAGCTCTTTCAGTGAAGCTGATACTTCATGTCTGTTAAAACTTAAAACCGATTTACTTTTGGCAAAATCGATAAAATTGTCGCACACCGAGGAGTAGATGTGTCGAAGGAGTATTATTGGCTTTCCTTTTTGGTCTGTTGTCTTGTGTTCCTTTGATTTTTAACATTCATGTTACTTCCTCGGCTCGTTCTGCAGAAAGTTGTCTTCATACACTGCACCAAAGTCGGTACTGTTGGACCTGCCACGCGGCGAAGGTGGTGATGCAGAGGTATGTACAAGGGTGGCAGAGCTGTGTCTTCGCCCCCCCCGCCCCCCCCCCCCCCCCCCCCCCCCCGCAAAAAAAAGAAAAAAAGAAAAAAAAAGAGCTGTTTGTGATTGTCACGTATATGCGAAATGGCCCTGAAAATCCACGTATATGCTGAAATACCCCCACAAGATGTGGGAGACCCGAACACCCGTTCTGAAGTTTGTCATGGTTTTGTGCAAATGTGCATTCTGCCCTTGACAGGGGTATACCACAAACTTGGCACCCCCCTGAGAGGGGTATAACGCAAAGATTTAAATCCAAGAGGGCATTTCACAAACTTTCGAAATTTCAGAGGGGTATTCCGCTGTGCCCACATCTTCTAGGGGTATTTTAGCATATAGGTGCACTTTCAGGGGTGCTTTGCAAATTTCCTCTTTTTTTTTCAATGTGTGTCTGGCGTTCTTGCCTGTCTTCTGTCCAGTTGTGAATCGGTCATTATGGAGAGCATATTTCTCGATTTCCGTTTGAGTCCTGCCTTCTGTTTTTTTTTTTTAGTGTGTCTGTAGTTCTTTTATGTCTGCGGTCCACTCACACACTTTTCACAAGTGCGGATGTTTAAAAAAAGTTTTTAAAAAAGTGCGGATGTTGTTTCTGTGCCCCCTGCAACGCAGTCTACCTTCTTCCCACGAATAGAACGCATGGTCATTGTAGGTGTATTAGGGGCAACTTACACTCCAGCAACGGAAAATAGCGACCGTACGGTTCACTTGAACACATTTCACAAGTGCGGATGTTGTCCCTGTGGCCCCTGCATTACACTTGCATGGATGATGATGATGATGGCCTTCATGTTCCCTCGTCAACGTGCCGAGCCTTGTACGTGAGAGGCACAACAAAGAGGGAGAGAAAAGAAGAAATGATAAAAATGAACGGTTTCATTGTGCACTTCATGTGTATCGTTTGTTTATCAAAGTGCGCTGTTTTAGTCGATAGATATGTACATATATACACATCACTGTCTCCATGTTCCATCACTCACCCACACGAGACCGAAAACTCTACGCCCACGAAGCAAAGAAAGGTCTGTCACAGCCAGCAAATACACTCCAGACATTCACGATAGTTATGTTCATCCACCTCATCCTTACAACGTATGTCCTCGCTGTCGTCAAGGACAGACTCATTCTTGAACCTTTTCTTATCCTGTCCACGGCCTTCATCTTCATTCCACACTCCGTACTTTCCCTGACTTTCCCTTACTTTCCGTTTGTCGTTCTTTGTTGGTCTTCTCTCCATCTCTCTTCACTGTGTTTATCCCCTCCCCCTTTACTCTGCCTCTTTCTCACGGCATACAAGTGGGCCGTTATGGCGCACGGGAATGCGGGCAGCTCGCTTATCTTCATCAATGTGGCGAGCCTTGGATGCGAGAGGTATGGTGAAGGGGGAGTTAAGAGAAGAATGAGAAAAATGACTGGTTTCAGTGTGCCCTTCATGTTTGTCTTGTTTTAAAAAAATAATTTTACCGTTTGTTTCGCAAAGTGCGCTCTTTTAGTTCATAGATATGTGACAATATATATGCAAAAGAACGAGTGGACTGTGACTGATAATGGTAACCGTCCTTTGAATTTGTGTGTGTACTTTCTGTTCTGGGGTAATGGAATACAGTTGGGATTTAGAAAGCCTCAGCGCATCATTGACAGGGAGGATGACTACAGGGCAAGGAGGCACAACCGCCCACTATCGCCAGACAGGACAGATGCTTTTGCATTGGTAAGTTGCCACCTCTTCTTGTCCTCTCTTCCGCGTACGGGGTCTTGTGTTGGCTGGTCACTTCCAAATGTAGGCCTGTCTGCCTGCCACGATTCTGTGGTCGTCACTTTGTATATCTGTTCCACCTGCCATACTGTATGAGTCTTCGTGCCTGCTCGCTTTCTGGAGAATGGCTGCTGTGGCGAATCTTGATTGGGGGGGGGAGAGAGAGAGAGAGAGAGAGAGAGAGAGACATGCGTTTGGCCCATTCCTGCTACGACTGAGAAGAAATAACTAGCAAAAATGTGTGTGTGTGTGTGTGTGTGTGTGTGTGTGTGTGTGTGTGTGTGTGTGTGAGAGAGAGAGAGAGAGAGAGAGAGAGAGAGAGAGA